CCAGGAAACCAGGAGGAAATCGTGATTGCTTTGAAAACCATTTGAATCATTCTTCATTTTACAGAATCAGGAATTATTTAGGGGTACATGTCAGAGAAAATTGTTGAGATGGTTTTCTAAAATGATTTTTTTTTTACTTTGATTTAAAACAAATAAAGCAACCATTGTCTTCTTTGCTTTAAAAAAAAAATACCTCAACATAAAGTCATTGTAAATGGGCTTAACCTTGCAACATACAGTACATTGTCATCAGTTTTGTAAGGGAATATTTCTGTCTTACTCCTAAGTGTCAAATAATAATTCTTCCTTGCTCCTAAGATATTTAACCCATTCTGTGTGTTGACATTTACGACCATCCCTGCTTCTAATCTCCCGTAAGGAATGTGTTAATGCAGTCGTATGTTGATACTAGGTTTTATGGCCTGACCTGGTGGGCACAGGGGGGGTTTTACGACTGTGAGAACGCTGGCTTTCTAAGCTCCACAGATGTGAGAGACATCTCCTGTGTCTGCAGATGTTTACGCCCATCCCCAATATGTGGATTTAACTCTCTGTAAACTAGTTAAAAGGTCTACCAAGATGCGAGGCTGGGCAGAATTGACATGACAACCCACCCGTGCAGTCAGAACCTTTTGCTGCTGTGACTTGTGATATGAATTCTCCGGCCGTTGACTTGTAATACACTATCATTATTTGACATCAAAGCTCCAACTCTCCTCGTGTCTCTCTGAGTCCTGACTCTCCATTGCTGCAGAAGTTTCCCTTACAAGTTTACCTGCATGCATGGCTTATGTATAACCATGCACACTGTAAATTGAATATTTACTACACGAATATAGATGCACTCTCCTTCACAGCTCTGAATATTTATGCTTTTGGTCGCAAACATTAATGACAACAATGCTAACTGCAAAGCTAGCTGTTTCTGCAGCTGGTATGGAAGCATTTACGACATGTATGTGTGTGTGTGTGTACTGTATGTGTCCCTGGGGTCTCACTGAGTGACTTACAGCATACAAATGTGTGACTCACAGACTGCTCTGTTGTTCAAACACACAAGGCCTACAACGAGCAAACTGAAGGACTCTGATTTAGACCGATGAAGCAGCACTGCATGTTCGTTATGTTAATGTTATCAGCTTTCTTCAAAGTCCAATGACTGGCTTTGTTAGGGTAAATAACAGTGCTAGGTGGAAGTATATATACATTTGGCTTGTATGTCAAGTATTGGTACTCTTCTGGTATTTGGTGTACCATGGGAAAACAAATTCTACTTTTTGGACATGCTCTACTTGAATGACAGAAAATCAATCAATTCCTGTTTTCCCTTTACATGAACATTAGTCTATGGTTTATAACAGACATAGTTATACGTCCGATTTGTATCCTTTCCCCTATCATTTGTCTATGTTTAAAGGGGAAATACTAACTTGGATAGCATGTATTCCTTTGTACACCTGTGTTTGGACTATTAGGGGTACGCTAAGGGTTAGAGTCTCCTTTTTAGAGAACTTATTCCTTTTTACAATTGTTTCTCTCCTCTTTGGAGAATTTGTGCATTTTTAACCGTATTTTTGTGAGAATTCGTAAATGTTTACACATGCAAATGTGAAACAGAGCATTGAGGCACTTATCATCACTGGATCTAGTGTAGTTTGAATTTCACCTAATTTCTTTGTTTCTTTGAACTTAATCATCCATCAAATAAATGCGTGTAAAGGTGAAATTACTTCTGAAGCTGACTACACTGTTTTCTGTCCAACCTGTGCTGAGATCAGTGAACAGTAGCAATGATAGATACCACTCAAGTCCATTTTTACCAAATAACCAACATGCTCTAGGCCAACTTTCATCGACCACTGTTGAGTAAGCATGTCAGTGGCTACGTTTCAAGAAATGTGACGCCTCTACTTCACTGCGACCCCTCCACCCTCTTCTACCTCATCATTGGGTGCTGCCGCCAAGTCCAGCAGTGACCCCCGGGGCACGTTTTGGACAACTCACCATGGCACCCTGCCCTCATGTTGGGTCAACCTACAAGCTGACACTGACTGGGCATTGGGAGACAGAGCCAAGCAATGACATCTCCCTTGGCGCACAAATCGTAGACTTCTGGACCGCATCGGGATGATAGCGAGGGAACAGACGAGGAAGGGTGTCCAGAAAGGAGAGATGTTTGAGGGGAAGGACACAACGAAGATGAAGTGTTAAGTCGCGTTTCAAGTGTCTTCTTTCATTCATCAGCTGAGTCTGCCTTCCCCTCCTTTCCTTTCCACTCCCATTTCTATATGTAACGGATCTTCTTTTCCTTTCTTACACGCCCTTAAATAGCTGTAGCACTCCCTGCTTCGCCTCCACCCCACTGCAAGCACAGAGAACTTCACCTCTTTTAAAAATACCCCAGTGTCACTTATATGGCCATACACTGTGGTAACAGGGAGGGGGACAGATCTGAACATTCAATCTGGAATTATAATTTTTTTTGCAGTATTGTTGGCACTGTGTGGTCAATTCTTAAAGATCAACTTTGTAGCAGTCCAATGTTTTATTTTCAGGTTTCTGTTAGAAAATATTTGAATTGTTTTTGGATTTAGTGTAACATACTGCAGCAGAACATGCAAAAAGTTATTGAATTTGTGTCTATTGTGTTTCTCTATAACCTGACACACTTCTGCTTCCAGGCAGTGATTGAAAAGAATGAAAGAAATTCATATTGTTCACGCTACACTCAAAATAATTAAATAATCGTTTGGTATCTTGTGTCAAGCCCTATTCACACTCGGCTAGCATTACCACAGGACCTCTGATACTGTCATACAGCAAAAAGAAAGTCATATTATAGACTAAATCCCATCCTTGTAGATGATCTATTATTATGTATCATATAAGTATTCATTTGTAATCAAAACTTCTTTCTAAATATTAAAAGAGACAAGGATTATCTGAGAGAGTTTAAATGAACTCCCATCTCAACATGTACATATCTTTTTGCATAAAGATGCATTACCAATGTTGTGTGCTGATAAAACACGAGGTCCCCAGGTTATGATAATCCAGTAACACTTTACCTTAAATGTACCTATTCAGCATTTACAAGCAGTATAACCATATTTGATAAATGCTTAACAACCCAATGTGTAGTATAATAATTTGTTGGCAGATAGATATCAAGATGGTTTTGTTTTTTAAAGTCAGTACCATATGAACAGACAATACAACACGTAGATCGAGATAGACATAGACACTACTTAACAGTACTTATTAGGTGAAAATGTAAGTGATATGTGTGTTTCATGTTAATGCAAAAGCACTCATAAGTGGAGGCCGCTGTATGAAGGGATAATAATAGGAATGTATGATGAAACACAGTTGTAATAATGCAAGAAGTGGGGGGTTATTATTGTGAAGTAAACACTTACATGTCATTATTGAGTACATCTACATTAGAAAGTGTTATTAAATGTATTATATATATATGTGTGTACTGATTCTAAATGCTGAATAGGGGGACTTAAAGTAAGGTGTTCCTTATAGATGTGTGTGAATGGGCTTTTAATAACCTGAGTACATTTTCAGTGTTTAAGTTTGGACCTATTTTGTCTCCTGTGAAGGCCACTCCGATTGGTTGTAAACCTGGAGGCTGTGACTATTGTGCTCTGCCCTAAAGCGTTACCTCTTCTTGCAGTTGATCCCAGACATAGCAGCAAATGTTAAGGTCTGCCTCCTTGTGCCTGTGAAGCTGGGATGCGAAAAACACAGAATCTTCTGGCGCTGACAGTTCTCTTCCACTCCTTGACTGCAGTTTAGTTTTAAAACAGGGAATATTACAATAAGCAACTGAACTGCTTTCAACGTTCAAAGAGAAAGGGAAGATAGTTTCAAAAAATGCTCCGCTATCTAACTTTAACATCCTTCCTTCCATCCATCCATCCATCCATCTTGCAACCATAGAAGATCAATTCACCCAAATAACTAATTATTCTCTTTCTACTAGTGATGTCTTACAAAGCAGTTAGTTTTGGTTTTATGTCAGCCGTTAGTCAATTCCATTTTCATGTTCTGTTGCTCAAAGCATTGTTAAATTACATGTGAGAAACTCAATGGTCCCAATGAAAACAGCACACATGACACCACATTGACATCTATTGTAATGTGTTGGGACATCAGAGAAATGTATAAGATTACTATCATAAGTATATTATTATCCATCAGCTGTTACATGCCAATTAACTTGCTTTAGTGTTTCAAGGCAAGTAGGCCAATCTAGTCAACTAGATGAAAGAACATTTGGCCTAGAGTCGAATCATGATCTAATATGTCTGGACTCTGGCAACAAAGATAACATTGCACATAGATACAATACTATACATACAGCACAGGCTATACTTTGCTGGTGCTATTTTGCAAGGCGCTAAATAACGCTTTTGACTCATCATCCAAAGTGTAACCTCACATTTAAAAGGGCTATCATCTCCCCATAATCCGCAAGCATTAGAAACGGAAACCTGTAGAGTGTTGTTTTGGGTAGATCTTTGAGCAATACAGCCTATTTATAACTCTGTATAAGTGTATATTTACAGTACATATGCGCATGTATGCAGCGGCTTCACTTCGCCAAAGTGTGAGCTCCTCTCCTTTCCAACGCACCTGTTGCAGCGTCTCTTCCCTTCGACATAGTTGGCTCAAGTTCTGCCCCTCTTGTTCTTCTGGAAACCCCGCTGTCTGTGCTCCTCTCACGCCGGCTATCAGGGCTGTCAATTATTGGCTTCAGTTTCACTCCGATTTAGAAAGTGCAAGGCAGCAATCCGAAGCTTTTGCTTTTAAGGCTCTGAAATTAAGATGAAATGCCAAGGGGTTGCTCGTGTAAATGAAGCTAAAAAAGTGTTTTCAATGAAGTTCTGAGATTATAAAATGTCGACCAGGGATGCACCAGTCGCTGAGATCAGTCTGATAATGAATCGTTTGATATTAAAAACCACCTTTTTCTTTTCTATGTCTAGCTTGCAGCCCAAGTTCTTGGCGATTTTGATGATGAGGACATTGGATTCGGCCTGGTGGATGAAAAGAAGGGCACTGCTGTGGCTAAGAAGCTTGGTAAGCTTGCCAATCACTGACAGACACCTTGAAAACATTGCTTAGTTGTCAACAATACCCAAAAAGAAAATCTTTGACTAAGAACAAATCATCTCTTTCAATCATCACTTTTCTTAGGGTGTCTAATTGTGTGCAAATTATGAAGATTCTTTTTCACATCAATTATTGAAAAATAACAGTCTCCAGTCATATAATCAACATATAATCAGTATTCAGGGGATTAGTGTTGATTGAAGTCTGGGGAAAAAAAGTTATTTAAAGACATTGAAAGTGTAGCATATGTTTTTGATTTTCCATGATGCACAAGGGACCAATCAAAAGATGTTTGGATGAAAAGTACAATAGTAGGTGTACATGTCTTTTTAACATGGGGTTCTTGTCAAGGAGAGACTCTGAGGCATGAACTCAATTGCACGACACAGATATTGTTCTCAAAAAATAAAGACTTTACTGGAATTTAGCACAGTAATCAAAACAAGGAAAACAAATATACTCTTTCGAGGAAAACTAGCAAGTGATCAATGAGGTAGATCCGTGGGAAGTCCGTGAGGTAATCAGTAACGTGGGTCATAGTAAGACAACGAACTGACAATGAACAGGAGGAAGCTACCACAATATATACACAGGTAAAGGGGACACAGGTGGAAACAATCAGGGCGGGGAAACAATCAAGAACGCAGGAGACAGAAGGGGGCGGGGAGCGTGGAGGCCTGAAATGAGAGGGATGATTAATTAAGGGAATAAACATAAAGCACAGGGCAAAGGGACATGACCAAACTAACATAAAGAATACACTTTCACTATTAGTTTCCTAGACATGACAGTTCTGCAGTCATAACAGACGGTACATGAAGAAAGTCTGCCCTCAAGTGTTGAGCAAAGATGTCACAGCTTTGAAACAACAGCTGGGGGAAAACCTACAAGCATCACTTCTTTTGTGTTGGAGAAATTAGGCGTTTGACATTTGTCTTATTTTTTGCAAATCACCCGTAGCATATTTGAATATTCAAATGGGAAGCTTATTTACAATGCTTATAAAAGAGTTCCTTTGAAACGTTACAGCAACGGAATTGTATTAATAAACACTAACGCAATTTAATGCACAAATATTCTCTGTGTTTATAATGGCTTCTTCTTCTCCAGGTCTGGATGAGGTGGAGAGCATCTACATCTTTGCTGACAATGAGATCATCGAGTACGATGGAGAACTGGCGGCTGACACCCTGGTGGAGTTCCTCTATGATGTAAGTCTAAGTCGAATTCTTCTTCTTCTTCTTCTTCTTCTTCTTCTTCTTTCTTCTTCTTCTTTCTTCTTCTTCTTC